CTTTTGTTATACTCAAAGCTCTTCTAAGAACTAGCTGTGTGACCTTGGGCATTCACTTTCTCTCGATGGGTATCAGGTTTCTCTCTAAGTAAAATGAGTAGGTTGAACTGGAGGGCCTATTAGCTTTTAAAAGGCACATTTTTCGACGTTCTTTGATTTTTTAAATTTTTTAAACAAAGGCAAGTACTTCCAGCATCACCCAAACACTCCCCAAATCAGTCATTAAACTGGGAGGAGTCCAAAGCTCATAAAAGTCAAACACCAGAGCAAACTACAGAGCCCACTTGTCCCTGCAGGGTTTTTTTTATCCAGTGCTAATCTGCCCAGGGGGTGCTAAAGTCTCCCATCTCTTAAATCTCTAGATGATTCTAGATTCCTGGGTCACGGACCTTGTACAATCAAGCCCACAATCATAGGAAACCAACTTATGAGAATCCTAGGAGAGAATGCATCTGAAGGGTCTGGCCAGATCCTACTTAAGGCAAAACCGCAAACTTGGCTTTGTGAGATAAAGCTTCTGGAATGGGAGTAGTTTTAAGATAGACTTTGTTAATAAAAGCCATGATTTACGTATATGTCCTTTGCTCTTTCAAAGGACTCCTACATGGAATCTTTTAGAAAAAGCCCCAAATACTCACCTCCTCATCTATCTCCCCCACTCCAGGGGTCTGTGCTAGGGGCTATGGGAGAACATGGTCTCTGCCCTCAAAGAGCTTGCATGCTCCCTGAAGACACAGAGCGTGAGATAAGGAGTTCAGGACCCAATGGAAGGGCCAGAGGCTGACAGCTGGTGAGCTCAGGGGGGTGACAGCACGTGGGGAACTCTCTCCAGTTGTGATGCGCTTTGCTGCGGCCTCTGAAAGCCCTCCGCTGTACTTACACGCAAGATGCCCACCTGCCATCACCGAACAATATGAACCATGAGGACAGGTCATGCTGGCCTACAGGGTAAAAGAAACAGAACAGAGAAGACAGAAATGGTTGCAGGATTTCTTTCCCCTCGGTGGGTGCCCATGGTTCTTGGTCATGCAGCTTCCAAGAATGAAGAGGTAGACCAGATGAAGGGTGGTGGGCAGCAAAGCAAAGTTTACTGAGCGACGGTATGAAGTTCTGGAAGAGGGAGGGGACCCGAGAGGGTTGCTACAGGAGTTTCTGAGTCTACCGGATTTTGGGGGCTTGTTGGCGGGCTGTTTTAATCCGATTAATCCTCCACACACCTGTCAGCAAATCAGGAATCAGGCTTTTGTCATCTACCTATCGCCAGGGAAAGGGTGGAGGGCTCCTTCCAAAGGGGTGTAAAATCCTTTTAAGGGTGGTTTCCTCTTGGGGAAAGAACCCTTGTCCCTGCAGGCCATTCTTCCCACTATCATTCCTCATCATTAAAATGAGAAAACCTCTTGAAAGGGAGGGAGCCCTTCCAAGGAAGAGGGTGTTTACAAAATTCTCCCAGTGGCCCCGAGCTTTAATCGGATGAGTCCACAATCCCAAGATCAGTTATCTGGAGAGATAGATGATCCACAGTGTTCACAGAATTCTCGAAGGCAGCCGTGATCTCCAAAACATTGAGACTCACAAATCACATTCTTCCCGACCCGCTTGTTAAACCCTCTAACTAGTGGCCCAGTTGGGGACATGACTAACTTACCTTCCCAACCTGGGTCATCTGCCTCCAACCTCTATTACCCATCCTCTACAGATAAATTTGCCCAAAGCACAATTATGATCATGTCCTTCCCTTTCTCCAGAACAATGGCTTCCCATCACTTGCAGAATAACTTCTCAACATAGTACCTGATACTCCAGCCAAGGTAGACTACTTCTCTTTCCTGAAAACCCCTCTCTACTCCCTCTTAAAACCCCCTCTACTACCTTTGCTTCAAGCCCAGGGAGACCCACCTCCTCCCAGTCATTGTCTGGTCAAACTCTACTCATTCTTCGCCTAACTCATGTACTTCGACCTCCAAAAACACCTCCCAGGTTGTGCAGCTCAGAGGTGACACCTCTTACCACTGAGCCTGCGTATCTTGTTTTGGATCCTGTGGCCGATGTCTAGTTATACCCCCAAAATCAATTTTCCATTCCTGCCTGGGCACAGGGCCACCTCCCAAGGTGTTTCCTAGTCTTGCTTGTGGCTAGGTGTGACCTGCAACTAAGCTCTTGCCGTGTGACAGAGCTCTTGCCAAAGGGATATGACAGAAAATGAAATGAACAAATTCCACCTGACTCGCTTCCGAGGAGGGCCCTTTGCTGGACCTCTTTCTTCCTTCCCATGAGCTAGAATTGTGGATGCACTCATGTCCTTGCATGGAGCAGAACTGTCCCACTGGGCTAGGCTGGCCAGCATGTGATGTCAGAGAGAAATCATCCGTCTTACTTGAGCTGAGGCGTTTGAGGGGCTCCTCTGTGCTAGTGTATTAAATCGTTCTATGGCTTATAAGTGTCTCATTTTCTCTACTGAGAAGCCAACACTTTATTGGTCTCCCTGCTTTCTGTTATGACCCCTACACTCTATTCTCAGCTGAGATGATCTTTTTTTTAATACTTTTTATTTATTTATTTGAGATGGGAAAGAGCATGAGCAGGGGGGAGGGGCAGAGTGAGAGAAGAAGCAGGCTCCCCGCTGAGCAAGGAGCCCACTAGGGGCTCGATCCCAAGACCCTGAGATCGTGACCTGAGCCGAAGGCAGACACTTAAACAACCCAGCTGCCCAGGCGCCCTTGAGATGATCCTTTTAAAAGCGAAGTCAGATCATGTCATGCTTTGCTTAAAACAACAACAACAACAAAACACTTGACTGGGTAAAAGCAGAAATCCTTCAAATGGCCGACAAGGTCTTACAAGGTCCATGGTCGGCAGCCTCCCACCAATTACTCTTACCTCACTGACCTTATTTTCCTTATTTTCTCTTACAGGTATGCTCCACTCCCACTGCCCCAACACTCACTCCACACCAGACACAGTGACCATTGTACCATTCTGCAAACAAGTTAGACGCTCTTCTGCCTTGGGGTTCTTGCACCTGCTGTTCCCTCTGCTTGTCCCACATAGGAACATGGCTCCTTCCTTTATCTCCTTCAGGTCTTTGTTCAAATGTTGCCTTCCCAGGTTGGCTTTCTCTGACTACTCCACTTAAACCTCCCTCTCCCCTACTACCATCCTGGCACATTATCCCGCTTCCTTGCCTCATTTTCCTCTACAGTACTTACCACCATTTGACATATTATATATCGTCTTTATTTATAAATAAATAAGTATTTCTTGTTTGAGAACATAACCTCATGAGAGCAGGGGCTTTGAACTGTTTACTATCATATTCTCAGTGCCCGGAACAGGTAATTTAAAGTATTCAATAAATGCTTTTTAAATGAACAAATCCCTTGGGTGCAAATACTTTCTGCCTAGCATGCTGCCTTTTAAAAAAATATTTATTTCTTTATTTTCGAGAGACAGAGAGTGTGTGGGGGGAGGGCCAGAGGGAGAGAATCTTTAAGCAGACTCCCTGCTTAATGCAGAATCCAACCGGGGGCTGGATACCAGGGCCCATGAGATCATGACCCGAGGCGAAACCAAGAGTCGGCCGCTTAACTGACTGAGCCACCCAGGCACTCCCACACTTCCTTGTATGCAATAAAGCACTCAGTAAATATTTGAGGAATCAACTATGATGGAAGACTACTAACATTCTGCCTTGTTATCTGCTGCCTTCTCCAAGTACCCCTCGACACCTGGGCCTACATTAAATTTCTGCACTCATGAAAGTATAGCAAGAGGTCAGAAGGAGAGGTCCTCCATGGACACTGCTGTTTTGAACATGGCAATGAGAGAAACACAGGATGCTGCTTTGAGTATTTTCCGCCTTTGCCACTTGGACAAATCCCTTCCCATCTCTGGGACTTAGTTTCACCATATGTAAGATAAAGCTAGGAGACTAGATGATTTCTGAAGTCCCTTCTATTTTTACAGCTTGTAGTTATGGTGCTCATGACTAAAATTGTATGATTCTAAAATTGTATGATTTTTCTCTTCTAACCTGTTCTCCGAATATGCTGAATGAAAATGTGGTGTAGGGATGAAGGCTCTCTTTGATTCCATTAGTGCATGTGTCATTAGAAAAATAATAAAATACGGTGTAAAAGGCCACATTAGCAACATGCAGATATGATGCTGAGGCTCACATGAGGCAGAAGACCAAAAACTAGGTTTTCTGATTCCTTCCGGGCTCCTTATCTCAAGTCCCATACATATATACATATATTTTCTCTCCTTTCCAAGGGTTAGCTGAATTAGACCTTTATCGCCAGGGTATTTTGGAAAATCCACACTCCTTCACTTGTTTGAACACACTTGGTCCCATCGCCCAAAACAAAACACAACTTTCTCTAGCCGTGGTTCTGGATGATGGAGGTGGCTTGCGTTCAGCCACTTTCCAAACCTTGAGACTTGTCTCCCAGGCAAAGGCAAAACAGCATAGTTGCAAAGGGCAAACACGCCCTTTGGATGCACCTGTGCCACGGGTGTCTCTCGGTGCTGTCGACGTGTTTTATATCACCCCCGCCCTTATAAAGAGATAAAAATCACGTTCAGAAACAGGCAAACTTCTGCTCAGAAATCTCCCCTTCGTTCTGACAAACTGGCTGCCATCCCGATCAACAGATTTTCTTAAACGGAACTGCAAACCAGAGCCAGACTTACTCCCCGCTGCCAAAGGGGATAAATAAGCGTGCCTGAATTCCCGCTTGCTAGCAAGAGCTGGCACGACGCGTCACCAACATCCCTCCACCCCCCAATCAAGCGTGGTTCGGCTTGGCGCTCGGGAGCCAGCGCTCCCCGACAGCCTAGCTGCAGGGGGCGGGGCCGTGCCTTAGCCTCGCCCTTTTCATGGCCTCCAGCCAACTGGAGGCAGGCAGAGCTGCCGCGAGAAACCCGCCCCTCGCTCCCGCTCAGCTAATCGGGGCGGCGGGGTGGGGACCTCCCCGCTGACCCCGCCTCTCTGGCGCTGGGCAATTTAGAGCCGCGCGCCGGGCGGGAATGTAAGATGGCGGAGTAGCAACGCGAAGCGGTTAGCACTGAGTCTCTTGGCCGACTTCGGGTCCCGTCTCGGCAGCAGCAGTGATCGCTGAGCGGAGAGTGCCTAGGGTAGTGAGCCAAGATGCCGAATATTAAAATCTTCAGCGGCAGCTCCCACCAGGACTTATCCCAGAAAATTGCTGACCGCCTGGGCCTGGAACTAGGCAAGGTGGTGACTAAGAAATTCAGTAATCAAGAGACCTGGTAAGGGCGAAGTTGGGACCCCGACCGGCCTCACCTGCCGGGGCGGCGGGGTTGACGCCGGGGGGACAGACGGTAGGGGGAATGGGGCCGCCGCCGCGGGAGTTCTGTGCGACCCGGGTGGGGGGCTGGGGTAGGGGAAGGGGCAGCTCCGTGGCAAGCGTGCCCCGCGGGTTGTTTCCGTTATGTTACCTCTCGCGGGAGGGTCACGTTCATTCTCACCGTGCCGTGGGGTGGAGTCAAGATGGAGCGTGAGGCAAAGCTGCTGGGTTTGAAGGCAAGGGTTGGAGGACCCAAGGTGGGGACAGTGGCTGCCTAGAGCGACGGAAAGGGAAAGACGCTTAGCCTCAGCCAAGGGGACACGTGGCTTTGTCGCTTCGCTGTTGAGCCATCCAGACAGGACTGGGTTCACTTTAACTCTTGGACCAGCTTGCTTGGGAGAACCTTACTGCGTACTGAGCCCTCCCGGTGTTTTTCTTAGAGTCTACGAAGCAGCTTTTCAATTCGAAATGGTGTCGGTCAGGTTTTGTAGTGAGGGAAATTGACATTAGGTACCGAGGGCGCCAAAATTATTACTAAGGACTTCCGCTGGATTGGCAGGCGTTAGCTTTTCACATCTTTAGCATCACATCTTGAGAAGCGGAGCTCTATTGAAGTTAAATCTAGCTGCTCAGTTAAAGTGGTGCATCAACTCTGCATCCTGATTGCCAGCATCTCAGCTTGAGCCATCCAGAAAGTGTTAGGTAGGGAACCTTAGTTCTGGAATCCTTGACCTTCCCCAGTGCAGCTACTGGTACAGATGATACATACAGAAACCTATTTTTCAGTTAGCAGACTCTATCCTGAACTTGTCCACTTCCCTTGGCCCCCGTAGAGCATTTCGGAAACAGTTTTATTATCCCTGAGTGTTAAGATAATGGTGGAAAGATAATGGAGTGGAAGACCGGAATTGCATAGTGCATTGCAGCTTGAATTTTTTTCATTGCCTTGCTAATTAAACTTGCTCCCTCCCCCCACTTTCAACTTCCTCCTGCACCTTGGGGGCCATCTTAGAGATAAACTTAATTACCTGATCCTTCCACCAGAAGGTAGAATCTTCTGGTTCTGATATTCATACTTTGTGTTTCTTTGCCCTGTTGATCAAATCAGGACAGTGCCCACAATCTCATGGGCGCAGTCATCTGTTAAGGGGAAAGTTTACTCCAAACCCAAGAATCCGTTAAATTAGTTAAGGTTGCTTGCAACATTTATTCCTAGATGCCTTTCCTTTTTCCTTTCTTTAAACTTACTACCCTAGTGTAACTCCCTTATCCTTCCTAGACCTGCTGATAAAAGCATTCATGTGTAGTGGACAGCTTCCTTCTGGATACTTACTGTGCCGCTGGTTGTGATGCAGATGATAGTGCAAACACTGACACAGTCTGTAACCAGGCAATAGCTTAGTCAGAAGAGGCTGGCCAAGCTCCTGTCTTTGGCTGTGACCACACCATTATGACACCATAATAAGAAGACATTACAGGATCAGACTTCGCCAGTGGCAGTATAGGTAGGGGCCAAGAATGATTTTCATTTAGAGGGGTTTTTCTGGCCCCCTTAACTCTGGTTGTTAAATTCTTTTCCTACCCTTCTAGGAAAAATACAAAGACTTTATTTTTCTTTGTGTTAACCCTTCACCCTCTGCCTAATGCAATATCCTAGAACCTGAAGCTGTACTGGGAGACAGGGAGGGTGAGAACAATTTAGTGTTCTGACTCATCTGAATTCATCAGCAATCCCAATCTACTTCGGAGATCAGGCTGGTTTCATTTTTAAACAGCTGAACAATAGCATGCTTGAAAATCCTGGCTAAGATTAAGCCAAACATGGAAAATTGCTGACTGGTTTGGTTTCCCTGTTTCAGGCTTAATCATTAGCTTTTTGGTTCCTTAGATGGTCTAAAATCTTCATTGAACATAATGGACTATGTTACCTATGGAGCTTCCCCCTCTCCATTCCCCCCTCCAACCTTTGGCTCTTCTGCATGACTCCTGGGCTCTAAAGGCCGTGGACAGAGCAGCTCAGTGGGTACTCTGGGTCATCAGAGAGGGGAACTGCAGAGTCCAGCCTCAAATGAGCCAGTTTTACTGTCTGTACAATTTGGCAGAATATCAGAGGTGGTGCTCTTTTGAGCAGAGTGGCTTTTCTCGAGTCAAGATCATCCATTGCTATCCAGTTATATAGGAAACATGCATACATACATACATACATACATGTAGTAGGTGGGTGTCTCACACACACACAGGTAGATAGGAGGGATTAGAAGTTCATGCTCTGGAATCAGAGAACCGGCATTTGAAATCTTTGCTTTTCTTTGCCCCAGTAAGGTCATCTGTAAAGTAATATCTACCCATGGAATTATTGTGAAGATTAAATGAGATAGGAGTAAAGGAAAACACTGTCCCACACAATAAATGCACAGTGAATGTTGATAAGAAGTGGAAGTGATTATATGCAGAAAATGTGGAAAATACAGAAGAGGACAAAGGGAAAAAAGACATCCCAAATAATCCTAGCACGATCACCTGTTCACATTTTCATCTATGACCTTCCAGATGTTTGTGTGTGTTTAAGTACTTTTTCAAAAATGTAAGATGTTTGGGGCACCTGGGTAGCTCAGTCAGTTAACCGTCTGACTCTTGTTTTTTCAGCTAAGGTCATGATCTCACGGTTGCATGATCAAGCCCTGCACTGGGCTCTGTGGTCAATGTGGAGTCTGCTTCAGATTTTCTTTCCCTCTCACTCATTCGCTCTCTGTCTCAAATAAATAAAAGAAATCTCTAAAAAAAAAATTGAGGTGTTCTAGCTTTCATCACGTAGCAATATTTTTTGAATAATTTCTCCCCTTAATATTTAGTCCACATGGTTTAAAATAGCTGTAGAGTCTTGTCTTATGGTTTTATCATTATTTTAGATAACCAAGTCCCTGCTAGTAGTTATTTCCCATTTTTTATTAATGCTTTTATATGAAAACCTTGGAACATAAATCTTTGTCCATTTTTTTTTTAAGATTTTACTAATTTATTTGACCGAGAGAGAGAGATCACAAGTAGGCAGAGTGGTGGGGGGAGCAGGCTCCCCGCGGAGCAAAGAGCCCGATGTGGGGCTCGATCCCAGAACCCCTGGACCACGACCTGGCCGAAGGCAGAGGCTTAACCCACTGAGCCACCCAGGCACCTGTGCTTTATCCATTTTAATCCCCTCAACCCTGCTGAGAAGTTACTATCCCCATTTTATGGATGAAAGAACTAAGATTCAGAGGTTAATGTGCCCAACTCTAGGTATTACTTTTTAAATTTTTGCTGATAAATTATCTCATCTGGCTTTTAAAATTTTAGTATATTCAAAAGTTTTTGTTTGTTTGTTTTTTTACTCTCTTCAATAGTGATAAGGACCTTTGGTTTATTTCGTTACTCTGGATAGGCTGAGAGGGGGAAGACTAACTTCGGTTGCCTAGGATTTTCCTAAGAACCATATCCCCTGGTTAGTTAATCCCTTGCATTTTGCACATGCCAGTGTCTCCCTCTGAATTCTTGAGATTTTCTTACGACTACTAGTTGCTTTCTAGATTTCAGTTGATTCTTCTTTGTAGCCTTCCGTGCTAGTTGGATGCACATGCCTGATGCTAAAGGAAAAGTAAAGGAGAAGCTAGAAGCTAGTTTTCTCATTGGATGGACATAGCCAGTCTGGCCTCACTAGGAGATTGGGAGAACGATTGGCCCAAAGCTACTTGGAAAACACGCCATTAGCTAGAGGGAGAGAACATGGGGTATTACCCTTTAAATTGCTAAACCAGGTTTTTCCACCTGATAGAGTATATTAAGAGCAAACAGGTTTTAGGCACAGCTGTTCTATCATCAGTCATTGCCTAATTTATCATCTCTTTGACTTAGAGGAAGCCATAAGAAAAATACTAAGATTTTTTGGAGGATTCCTTGGACTGTTTCTTGACCGAGCTGTATAATCTGAGTGTCGGTTGCAGGCTTTTTAGGCTTTATGAAAATGTACACTACAGTACTACTGGAGAGAGGGATTGATCTTAATTCGCGAGATCAGTTATGCACAGTAAAATAAGGCAATGTCCTACTTTACTTGCACCACTTCGTTTCGATTTATTTATTTTTTTGAGAGCGGGCTCACAAGAGTGCATGAGTGGGGAGAGGGAGAGAATTCTTCTAGCAGATTCCCCGCAGAGTGTGGAGGCCTGATGGAGCTCCATCTCACAACCCATGAGATCATGACTTGAGCCGAAACAAAGAGTGTAAAGCTCAACCACCCGAGCCAGGCGCCCCTGCACCACTTTATTTTGAATATTGTTTAATAAAGAGAATGTCCAAGTTACTGGATACCTACCTGGTCATAACACCTGTCTGTGCTTGAGGGTAAGTTTTAATCCTGAATTTGGCTTTGGGGAGTGGCTGAACGGCTGACAGCTGGGTGATACAGTAACACAGAAGTGTTCCCAGCGGTTGTGCAGGGTAGTGAGCTGGTGTTTTTATAAAAATCATTTTTCAAACCTCTGATGTTAGAATATAATTTCTAAAAGAGTCACCTCTGCCAAAGTATTATATTCAGCAAATAGTCCTGATGGGTAAGTTGGCAGTGATAATTTAATTTTACAGTTCATACCTTATCTGCTCTCGAAAAAAGATTGAAGCGTGTTTCGTGTTGTGTCACATGTCACGTGTGTCCCACGTACAAAAGTTTCACTGAATAGATGCATTAGGAGCCCTCTAGAACAAAGGACTGTCGTAATCATGCCAAGAATTTGGCATAAAGTGATTACTGAAGTTGTGTTAATTTAACTATATCCCTTGGCTTCCTGGCAGCCAAAGGGATAAAGACATACGCAGTGGATCGTGTAGTTTTTATTTTCGTAAGATACTTTAGACACCTCCAGGCACACAATTTTAGGAATTTTATGGATGGGATCCTTAAACAACGATATTGAGTAACATAAGGAACAA